TATTGTTATGACTACTGTAGGATATTGGTATGACTACTGTAGGATATCGGTATGACTACTGTAGGATATCGTTATGACTACTGTAGGATATCGTTTGACTACTGTAGGATATTGGTATGACTACTGTAGGATATTGGTATGACTACTGTAGTATATTGGTATGACTACTGTAGGATATTGGTATGACTACTGTAGTATATTGGTATGACTACTGTAGGATATTGGATGACTACTGTAGTATATTGGTATGACTACTGTAGGATATTGGTATGACTACTGTAGGATATTGTTATGACTACTGTAGGATATTGGTATGACTACTGTAGTATATTGGTATGACTACTGTAGGATATGGTATGACTACTGTAGGTATTTTATGACTGTAGAATCGTGTAGACTACTGTAGAATATTGTATGACTACTGTGGATATGGTATGACTACTGTAGGATATTGGTAGACTACTGTAGGATATGGTATGACTACTGTAGGATATGTTATGACTACTGTAGAATATGGGTTATGACTACTGTAGGATATTGGTATGACTACTGTAGGATATTGGTTATGACTACTGTAGTGATATTGGTATTGCTACTGTAGGATATGTGTATGACTATGGAGGACTATGGTATGACTACTGTAGGATATTGGTATGACTACTGCTAGGATATGGTATGACTACGTAGGTAATGTTATGACTACTGTAGGATATTGGTATGACTACTGTAGGATATGGTTTATGACTACTGTAGGATACTTGTATGACTACTGTAGGATATGTTATGACTACTGTAGGATATCGGTATGACTAATGTAGGATATTGCGTTATGACTACTGTAGTATACGTATGAACTGAGGATAGTTATGACTACTGTAGGATGTATGACTACTGTATGATCGTATGACTACTGTAGGATATTGTTATGACTACTGTAGGATATTGTATGACTACTGTAGGATATTGGTATGACTACTGTAGGATATGGTATGACTACTGTAGGATATTGGTATGACTACTGTAGATATTGGTATGACTACTGTAGGATTGTTATAACTACTTAGGATATGTTGTTATGGACTACTGTAGGATATTGGTATGACTACTGTAGGATATGGTATGACTATGTAGGTATATTGGTATTGACTACTGTAGGATACTGGTATGACTACTGTAGTATGGTATGACACTGTAAGTATATTGGATATGACTACTGTAGGATATTGGTATCGACTACTGTAGGTATATATGCACTGTAGGATATTGGTATGACTACTGTAGGATACGGTATGACTACTGTAGGATATCGGTATGACTACTGTAGGATATGTGTATGACTATGTAGGATATTGGTATGACTACTGTAGGATATTGGTATGACTACTGTGGGATATTGGTATGACTACTGTAGGATATTGGTTATGACTACTGTAGGATATTGGTATGACTACTGTAGTATGACATTAGGTATTATGACTACTGTAGGATAGTTTATGACTACTGTATGACTTTGTTATGACTACTGTAGTATTGTATGACTTTGTAGGATATGGTTATGACTACTGTAGGATATCGTATGACTACTGTAGATATGGTATGACTGACTGTAGGATATCGGTATGACTACTGTAGGATATGGTATGACTACTGTAGGATATTGGTATGACTACTGTAGGGATATGTTATGACACGTAGGATATGGTTATGACTACTGTAGGATATTGTATGACTACTGTAGGATATGTTATGACTACTGTAGGATATGTTTTGACTACTTAGGATATATGATACTGTAGGATACTGGTATGACATGTTACTAGTAGGCATGAAAATTGGTAAAATGACTACTGAGGATATTGTTATGACTACTGTAGGGATATTGGGTAGACTACTGAATGAAGAACTACTGAGGATATAGAACTACTGTCAGGGGAGTAGATACGAGTATATGGTTGACTACTGTAGGGATTATATGTAGGAGTATGGTATGACAAAGGTGCTGATAATCCGGATGCACTACTGAAAGTTTGGTACACTGCATGGACTATTGTGGATTATTTTGTATAGTATTGTAGCAGAGTATTGTATGAACTACGGTAGAATATGGGTATGACTGCTAAGGGATATGTCAGATATTTTCATAGTGGATACGGAGGATTATGACCTGAGGATATTGGTTATGATACTGTAGATAGTTATGACACGTAGATATTTGGTTGAACACTGTAGGTAGGTAACTAGAAAAGTTCTTATGACTACTGTTAGATATGGTATGACTACGATAGGATATTTAGGACTACTTAGGCTATTGATTGTAAGGATATTGTAGAAGTAGGATATAACTACTATAGATGTGACATGTAATAATGGTAGGCATGTAGAATGTTTTGACCCCTAGTTACAACTTCAGACATTAGATATGTTCAACTACTGTAAATTATACTCACTTAAACTGGAGTGCTTAGCTGGTTATGGTTATGGACTAAGAATTGGTATGACTAATTATGACTCTGAGGAGGAGGAGGAAGAAGGGTAGTTGCTACAGCTGTTATCTAGTAGTAGCTACTGGTAACCTCGTGGTTTGAATTGGACGAAACTTGAAGTTGACACGTAGATTTGTTTATTTATTTTTAGTCATAAACTCTTAAGCACTAAGGAGAAAGTTGCCGCAAGGAAGAGATTTACCAGGGGGGCGGATGAAACCAGCACCTTCGTGAGGAAAGTTTATATAAGCTATGTGGTTGTAACCCGTCGGTGAAGGGAATTAGTTTCTGCTTAATATTAAGTCAATTAAGGAGCATTAGGTTGCAAGGGACATAAAGATAATGGGTGGGTGAACCACAACCAACCCAAAACAACTCTGGGTTCTAACCCGTTATCTAACTTGGGAAAAGAGATTCATTCATCCCAATGGATACGGTCAATAAAGGTCATAAAAAATAATAACTTGAGCAGGCATTCCCAATAGGTTATTTAAAACAAGAACGAAAACTCACATAAGAACTCTTGTAAACATTAACCGTGAGTCAAACACTATAGACTAAGTCCCAAAATCAATCTATGATTTCAAAATTTTTCGTTCAATGTGTAAAATCTTAATGGGCGGTTTTAGAAGTGTTTCAACCTTTTGATTTTCAGTATTCTTGGAAAAAATAATCCCAATGATAACCGGTCAAAAAGGTCAAATAAAAAATAATAAAACTTGAGCAAGGCACTTTGACCCCAATAGGTTATTATAGTAAACACAAACTCAAACGAAAACTAATCATGAAGAAACTACTTAGTAAACTGAAATACAATAATTAACAAATCCGTTTGAAAACTACAACTATACTGAAACTATATATCTTTTGACTCCAAAACTAAATAAAATAACAAATCATCATGAATTATGTTCAATTTTAGTTTTTCTTCTAAACTTTGGGTAAAAATCTAATGGGGTTTCAAAGGTGCTTTCAAGCTTTTTGGGAGTTTTCAAGTTACTTAATCTGGCGAGTAAATAATTACGAGCCCAGGTGATGGCGATGTTTCAAATTGGCCCAGCTTGTGCATCACTATCACTACAGGGGAAATATCGGCTAGGTAGCTAAATTGATTATTCTTACATGCACTGCACTACTCAAGTTAAAAAGCATTGTATTGGTGTAAACATGGATGAGAGAGAGTTTCCTTCTACCGTATTTTTTGCACCAGTCTCGGCACTATTCCTTTTAAATCTAAGTCACATTGAGATTAACATTATAAACCTAACCTATCACCTGATGTATTACCAAAGACTATCTGTATGCTGACAAGAGACAGGACTCAATGTTCTGTGATGATCTGTTTACTGACAAGAGACGGGACTCAATGCTCTAATAATGGGAATGAATGTCCGCAAAGGCAGAAAGCAGGCGGGAGCAGGCTGGAACATTCTAGCCAATGAGAGGGCAGATTCACATGTGAACAACAGGCACGACGCCGATAAAAATGTTTTTTCTCGAAGATGCCGGGATGCCACGTGCGTCCACTTATATCAGTACATTCGTTACAACCTAAACATTACCCAACTTCTATTCGATCAAATAAGCCTCACGTAGCAAATTATCAATTCAATTTTATGTTGACCAAATTCATCACTCTCCCATTGACCTACATTCAAAAAATATCCACTTCCACTGGTTAACGCTGTATTTTCTCTCGGGACAGATTTTTTTGGCGAGTCAAATCTCTCGCTTCGCCTCTTCCTCTCTGGTATTAGTGCCCCCCATTTGCAAGACATCCCCAAAAAACATTTCTAATAACAAAACTAATAGAAATAAAAACTAATATAATAACACAAAACTATGATAACCTTTCTGTCACGGTACTGATGTGTATGTGGTGGTGAAGTCAGGCGCAGGACACAGAGGAATAAGTCAAGACGACTTTACTGAAGTATTTGAACAACATACAAAAATAAATGGCCTCGAAACACCGGAGGCGAACTAATACGCGAAATGCGTAAAACACTCCTAAACAAAAGTACCGAACCTCACAACAAAACGACAGGCGGACAATAACACACAACTACCAAACATAACACAGGGAAACTTATAGGTGACATAATCAGGACAGAATACCAAACAGGTGCACTAAACTAGACATGACCAAACAAACATCGAAAACATCAAACGGTGGCAGCTAGTACTCCGGGGACGACGAACGCCGAAGCCTGCCCGAACAAGGAGGAGGAGCAGCCTCGGCGGTATTCGTGACACTTTATGTGACCCCACTCCCTGATAACCTTTCTGTGACCCCAAATGTCAATTTCACACTTGTCTAACAGGGAAAATATATGCACCCCCCAAATTATTAATAACTATTATTATTTATTATAACATATTTGTGTCTGTGTGTGAATATCATGTTATTTTTTCCTGTTATTTTATTTAATGGCATCAATATCGTTATCACCGGCCACAATCTTAAATTGTAGATAATCACACAGATAAATAACTTGGCATGTTTTAGTAACAGAAATGTCTACCTCCTTCTTTAAGGTGGAAGAGGTTGTGAATGGAGTAGAGTCCCTGGCTTTGGAAGGAGAGGAGGAACTGAAAGTTCCCAAACAAGGGCGAGGTCCGTCCAAGGCACAGAAGAGACGGGTGAGCTGTAATGTATTGTGTCACTCACTGTGCATCTTAATGTATTAACATTCAGTAAGCCCTAAACTCCTGGCGTTTTTCTTGTTCAAATCCTCTCATTTACAAGGTGCAATAAGATGAGATTCATGTAATCCTTTATTTAGCCAGGTAAGACATGTTTCACAGTGGAGTTCAAATCCCATGTATGTCCTCCCTGTTCTCTCTGAACCCTCCCAGGATAAGAAGGCAGCCGCGGAGAAGGAGAGAGAGAGTCGTATAGCGGAGGCTGAGGTGGAGAACCTGTCTGGGCTGAGACACCAGGAGGGACTGAAGCTGTCCCAGAAGCTGGTAGAACGCCAGCTGCAGATCAGGGAGATCTCCTCAGGTAGGACCTGGAGCAGGGGGGTGGTAGGACCTGGGAGCAGGGGGGTGGGTAGGGGGTGTGGTAGGACCCGCAGCAGGGGGGTGGTAGGACCCGGAGCAGGGGGGTGGTAGGACCCGCAGCAGGGGGGTGGTAGGACCCGGAGCAGGGGGGTGGTAGGACCCGCAGCAGGGGGGTGGTAGGACCCGGAGCAGGGGGGTGGTAGGACCCGCAGCAGGGGGGTGGTAGGACCGGAGCAGGGGGGTGGTAGACCCGCAGCAGGGGGGTGGTAGGACCTGGAGGCAGGGGGTGGTAGGACCCTCAGCAGGGGGGTGGTAGGGACCCGCAGCAGGGGAGGTGGGTGGGAAACCTTGGTAGCAGGGGGGTGGTAGGGGGGGGTGGTAGGACCTGGAGCAGGGGGGTGGTTAGGACCCACACAGGGGGGTGGTAGGGGGGTGGTAGGACCCGCAGCAGGGGGGTGGTAGGACCTGGAGCAGGGGGTGGTATGGACCCACAGCAGGGTTGGTAGGGGGGGTGGTAGACCCGCAGCGGGGGGGTGGTAGGACTGGAGCAGGGGGTGGTAGGACCCCAGCAGGGGGGTGGGTAGGGGGGTGGTAGGACCCGCAGCAGGGGGGTGGTAGGACCTGGAGCAGGGGGGTGGTAGGACCTGGAGCAGGGGGGTGGTAGGACCCGCAGCAGGGGGTGGTAGTGACTGGAGCAGGGGGGTGGTTGGTAGGACCTGGAGCAGGGGGGTGGTAGGACCTGGAGCAGGGGGGTGGTAGACCCGCAGCAGGGGGGTGGTAGGACCTGGAGCAGGGGGTGGTAGGACCTGGAGCAGGGGGTGGTAGGACCCGCAGCAGGGGGGTGTAGGACCGGAGCAGGGGGGTGGTAGGACCTGGAGCAGGGGGGTGGTGGTAGGACCTGGAGCAGGGGGTGGTAGGACCTGGAGCAGGGGGTGGTAGGACCTGAGCAGGGGGTGGGTAGGGACCTGGCAGCGGGGGGTGGTAGGACCCGCAGCAGGGGGGTGTAGGACCCGCAGCAGGGGGTGGTAGGACCTGGAGCAGGGGGGTGGTAGACCCGCAGCAGGGGGGTGTAGACCTGGAGCAGGGGGGGTGGTTAGGGACCCGCAGCAGGGGGGTGGTAGGACCTGGAGCAGGGGGGTGGTAGGACCTGGAGCAGGGGGTGGGTTAGGACTGGAGCAGGGGTGGTGGGTAGTAGGACCTGGAGCAGGGGGGTGGTAGGACCTGGAGGCAGGGGGTGGTAGGACCTGGAGCAGGGGGTGGTAGGACCTGGAGCAGGGGGGTGGTAGGACCCGCAAGCAGGGGGTGGTAGGACCCGCAGCAGGGGGGTGGTAGGACCTGACAGGGGGGTGGTAGGACCCGCAGCAGGGGGGGTGGTAGGACTGGAGCAGGGGGGGTTAGGACCTGGAGCAGGGGGGTGGTAGGACCCGCAGCAGGGGGGTGGTAGGACCCGCAGCAGGGGGGTGGTAGGACCTGGAGCAGGGGGGTTGGTAGGACCTGGAGCAGGGGGGTGGTAGGGCGGTAGCCAGAGGGGGTGGTAGGACCCCGCAGCAGGGGGGGTGGGGGGGTGGTAGGACCTGGAGCAGGGGGGTGGTAGGACCTGAGCAGGGGGGTGGTAGGACCTGGAGCAGGGGGGTGGTAGGACCTGGAGCAGGGGGGTGGTAGGACCTGGAGCAGGGGGGTGGTAGGACCTGGAGCAGGGGGTGGTAGGACCCGCAGCAGGGGGTGGTAGGACCCGCAGCAGGGGCCGGGGTGGTAGGACCTGGAGCAGGGGGTGGTAGGACCCGCAGCAGGGGGGGGTTGTAGGGGACCTGGAGCAGGGGGGTGGTAGACCTGGAGCAGGGGGGGTGGTAGGACCTGGAGCAGGGGGGGGGTGTAGGACCTGGAGCAGGGGGGTGGTAGGACCTGGAGCAGGGGGGTGGTAGGACCCCGCAGCAGGGGTGGTGGTAGGGGGGGTGGTAGGACCTGGAGCAGGGGGGGTGGTAGGACCTGGAGCAGGGGAGTGGTAGGACCCGCAGCAGGGGGGTGGTAGGACCCACAGCAGGGGGGGTGGTAGGACCCACAGCAGGGGGGTGGTAGGAACCCGCAGCAGGGGGGTTGGTAGGGGGGGTGGTAGGACCCGCAAGCAGGGGGGTGGTAGGGGGGTGGTAGGACCTGGAGCAGGGGGTGGTAGGACCTGGAGCAGGGGGGTGGTAGGACCCGCAGCAGGGGGGTGGTAGGACCCGCAGCAGGGGGGTGGTAGGACCTGGAGCAGGGGGGTGGTAGGGGGGTGGTAGGACCCGCAGCAGGGGGGTGGTAGGGGGTTGGTAGGACCCGCAGCAGGGGGTTTGTAGGACCTGGAGCAGGGGGGTGGTAGGACCTGGAGCAGGGGGGTGGTAGGACCCGCAGCAAGGGGGGTGGTAGGTGGCATAGAGGTTAGAGAAGCAGGCCAGCAAACAGAGGGTTGCCGGTTCGAATCCCAGCTCCGAATGGAAAGATCTGTTGCAAAGTGAGATGGCAGGGTGAGACGGAGGGATGCTGGCATCATCCTAGATACCATCGCCTACCGTTGTGCCCTTGAGCAACGCACTTACTTAACCCACTGTCTTCCAACCCCTCAGAGATGTGTGTGTCTCGGGGGGGGGGGGTTGGATTGTGACTCAATTTAATGGACAGTTAACTCTTCTCCTCCTCAGACGGCCACTGTATGTACCGTGCTGTGGAGGACCAGTTGGGGCAGCACGGTTTAGGTCTGACCCTGAAGGAGCTCCGGGCCCAAACCGCTCAGCACATGAGGAGCCACACAGACGACTTCCTTCCCTTCCTCACTAACACCAACACAGGGGACATGTACACAGCTGGTGAGGACTAACTGAGCTGTTCTGTTCATTTAGGGCCGGTTTAGACATTAAGGGGCGGTTTCCCCCAGACACAGATTAAACCTAGTCGAGGACTAAGAAGCATGATCAGTGGAGAACCTCTATTGAAAACGCTTTTCAGTCCTGGATTAAACTTAATCTGTGTGTAGAAAACCGTCTCTGTGTTTTATGTTGAGGTTGTTGTTTGTTAGGTTTTGTATGGGGGATTCCTCACTAAACTAGAACAGAAAAAATATGCTTTGGATTTTCATGAAATGTAATCCATAAAAGCATTCTTTGGAGGAAGGATTGTTTTTTTTGACATTTTGTATCTTAAAGCGTAATTGAGAAATAAGTAATTGAAGTTGGAGTATCTGGGGCATTTTGGCGTTACCCAGGCGATAAGGTTTCATCTGTAGATGCCACAAAGCAAACGTTGATGTTATATGAAGCTATACCGCTTGCTCTGAAATATGAGTAGGATTTTTCAATAACAACTTTCTTACATACACTACCTGTCAAATGTTTGGACACACCTACTCATTCCAGGGTTTTTCCTTTATTTTTTACTATTTTCTACATTGTAGAATAATAGTGAAGACATCAAATCTATGAAATAACACATATGGAATCATGTAGTAACCAAAAAAAGTGTTCAACAATTGAAAATGAATGAACAAATGAAAAGAGTGTCAAAGCTGTCATCAAGGCAAAGGGTGGCTATTTGAAGAATCTCAAATATAAAATATATTTTGATTTGTTTAACACTTTTTTGGTTACTACATGATTCCATGTGTGTTATTTCATAGTTTTGATGTCTTCACTATTATTCTACAATGTAGAAAATAGTACAAATAAAGAAAAACCCTTGAATGAGTAGGTGTTCTAAAACTTTTGACTGGTACTGTACATTTTATAAATATTGAAAAAAATATAAACATGAATATGAAATTCAGTATCACCTGTGGTCCGCTCTGCAGTGTCACTGCATTGTGTGATCACATTTACATTTACATTTACGTCATTTAGCAGACGCCCTAATCCAGAGCGATTTACAAATTGGTGCATTCACCTTATAGCCAGTGGGACAACCACTTTACAATATGTTATTTTTTATTTTTTTTGGTGGGGTAAGGGGGGGTAGAAGGATTACTTTATCCTATCCCAGGTATTCCTTAACTCTGTGTGTGTTTTCAGATGAGTTTGAGAAGTATTGCAGTGACGTGGCGGACACAGCAGCCTGGGGTGGACAACTGGAGGTATCTTCATCCTTTAATCACTTGATCAGGCTATATTTGTTTTATCAAAGGACCCAACAGAGCACCTTGTGTCATAACGGTTTTATACTGATTTATAAATTATCTATAAACTGTAAATTAACATTTACAAACTACTTATAGTTAGCGTACCTTACTGTAAAATGGTACCAGAATGGGATCACATATACTCAGTGATTCATGTATGCTGCTACTTTGTTCCCTAACAGCTGAGAGCTCTGACACAGGTCCTTCAACTGCCAATAGAAGTGCTCCAAGCAGATTCCCCAGCTATAATGATTGGAGAGGAATTTGACAAGTCACCCATCACCCTTATGTAAGTACCAAGTCAGTTAACCTCCATACTGTAAGTACCATGTCAGTTAACCTCCATACTGTTAGTACCAAGTCAGTTAACCTTCATACTGTTAGTACCTTGTCAGTTAACCTCCATACTGTTAGTACCAAGTCAGTTAACCTCCATACTGTTAGTACCATGTCAGTTAACCTCCATACTGTTAGTACCAAGTCAGTTAACCTCCATACTGTAAGTACCAAGTCAGTTAACCTCCATACTGTAAGTACCATGTCAGTTAACCTCCATACTGTTAGTACCAAGTCAGTTAACCTCCATACTGTTAGTACCATGTCAGTTAACCTCCATACTGTTAGTACCGTGTCAGTTAACCTCCATACTGTTAGTACCGTGTCAGTTAACCTCCATACTGTTAGTACCGTGTCAGTTAACCTCCATACTGTTAGTACCATGTCAGTTAACCTCCATACTGTTAGTACCGTGTCAGTTAACCTCCATACTGTTAGTACCAAGTCAGTTAACCTCCATACTGTTAGTACCATGTCAGTTAACCTCCATACTGTTAGTACCGTGTCAGTTAACCTCCATACTGTTAGTACCAAGTCAGTTAACCTCCATACTGTTAGTACCATGTCAGTTAACCTCCATACTGTAAGTACCATGTCAGTTAACCTCCATACTGTTAGTACCAAGTCAGTTAACCTTCATACTGTTAGTACCTTGTCAGTTAACCTCCATACTGTTAGTACCAAGTCAGTTAACCTCCATACTGTTAGTACCATGTCAGTTAACCTCCATACTGTTAGTACCTTGTCAGTTAACCTCCATACTGTTAGTACCATGTCAGTTAACCTCCATACTGTTAGTACCTTGTCAGTTAACCTCCATACTGTTAGTACCATGTCAGTTAACCTCCATACTGTTAGTACCGTGTCAGTTAACCTCCATACTGTTAGTACCATGTCAGTTAACCTCCATACTGTTAGTACCGTGTCAGTTAACCTCCATACTGTTAGTACCTTGTCAGTTAACCTCCATACTGTAAGTACCATGTCAGTTAACCTCCATACTGTTAGTACCATGTCAGTTAACCTCCATACTGTTAGTACCATGTCAGTTAACCTCCATACTGTAAGTACCATGTCAGTTAACCTCCATACTGTTAGTACCATGTCAGTTAACCTCCATACTGTAAGTACCGTGTCAGTTAACCTCCATACTGTTAGTACCTTGTCAGTTAACCTCCATACTGTTAGTACCTTGTCAGTTAACCTCCATACTGTTAGTACCAAGTCAGTTAACCTCCATACTGTTAGTACCATGTCAGTTAACCTCCATACTGTAAGTACCATGTCAGTTAACCTCCATACTGTTAGTACCATGTCAGTTAACCTCCATACTGTTAGTACCTTGTCAGTTAACCTCCATACTGTTAGTACCTTGTCAGTTAACCTCCATACTGTTAGTACCTTGTCAGTTAACCTCCATACTTCCCTAGCTCAGTTTACGAAGTAATTTGAGTGGTTACATGTCTCCAGCCCCATTCACCATCAGCCTTATAGTAAACCAAGTGGGGCTGCCATTTGGCAAAAAAAAATAAAAAATAATCCAAATGATTGATTGTGCCTTTAATTGTAGCTATTGTGTTTCAGTTACATGCGTCATGCGTACGGACTGGGAGAACACTACAACTCAGTGGAACGTCTGAAAGACCCTGCCACTCAAGGGGAAGACTGAAACTCTCATTGAGTTCCATTATAATGAATGATAAAGGCAAGCAGTGGTGGAAATGGACAAAAAAGTCACTATTGGGAATCCACCAATGTAAAATCCTTGAATTCACAATGTCAAATGACATAATGATTTCACTCCCAGAGACACTGCCCCCCCCCTCCCCCTCCCCCTCAATTCAAATATACTGAACAAAACAAAATATAAACGCAAGTGTTGGTCCCATGTTTCATGAGCTGAAATAAAAGATCCCAGAAATGTTCCATACGCACAAAAAGCTTATTTTTCTCAAAATCTGTGCACAAATTTGTTTACATCCCTGTTAGTGAGCATTTCTCCTTTGCCAAGAAAATCCATCCACCTGACAGGTGTGGCATATCAAGAAGCTGATTAAACAGCATGATCATTACACAGGTGCACCTTGTGCTGGGGACAATAAACGTCCACTCTAAAACGTGCAGTTTTGTCACACAACACGGATGTCTCAAGTTTTGAGGAAGCGTGTAATTGTCATGCTGACTGCAGGAATGTCCACCAGAGCTGTTGCCAGAGAAGTGAATGTTCATTTCTCTACCATAAGCCATATCCAATGCCATTTTAGAGAATTTGGCAGTACGTCCAACTGGCCTCACAACCGCAGACCACGTGTATGGCGTCGTGTGGGCGAGCGGTTTGCTGATGTCAACGTTGTGAACAGAGTGCCCCATGGTGGCGGTGGGGTTATGGTATGGGCAGGCATAAGCTACGGACAATGAACACAATTACATTTTATCGATGGCAATTTAAATGCACAAAAATACCGTGACGAGATCCTGAGGCCCATTTTTGTTTAAGGTATCTGTGTCCAACAGATGCATATCTGTATTCCCAGTCATGTGAAATCCATAGATTAGGGCCTAATACATTTATTTCAGTTGACTGATTTCCTCATATGAACTGTAACGCTGTAAAATCAATGAAATTGTTGCATTTAATATTTTTGTTCAGTATATATGGTGTCATCAGGTTTAAATAATGTGCTTGCATCCATGGAATTCGATGAGAGAGGCAGAGAGACTGGAAATAATACCTCCTAACTATGTGGTGACATAGAGAATAGTTTGCCATCACAGTTGGAAGTAACTTTATACACCGTATACTTCATCAGTGCTTGGGAATATTCCTGAAATCATCATGGAAATGTTATCTATTAAATATTGCTTTTGGTGGTGATTCGCTGTTATTTCTGTTATGACTGCAATGTCAAAAGGCTGATTTTCTTGTATGTGTGAATGCTGATGGACAATATTGTCTCAGACAAATGCAATTATCAAAATGTTTTTCCAATTTGTTTCATTTCCACTGGAAAGACATTCATGCAGAAAACACAGCATAATGTCATGTTGATTGTTGAACGCAATTGTCCAATTTAGGCATTTTATTTCAATGATAGGGACACATTCAGGGGCAATTCAACACGTGTGATGAGGTTAGGGATATGCTCTTATAGTACTTAGGTTCTGAAGTTCAGACCTGAAAAAACGATGGCCAGAACGAAATTGAAAAATAATCTCCTGTAATAAAAACAAATAGACTTCCAGGAGACGCCGCCAGAGGTCACTAAAGTGTTGTAAATGGGATTCTGGTAAGTCGAAAACCGTCTTGTTTCTATGGGAACCTGCCAAAGAAAATGATCAATGTTCCTAAATCGGTTGCATGATTAACGCATACACTGACTGTACAAAACATTATGAACACCTGCTCTTCCCATGGCATACTGACCAGGTGAAAGCTATGATCCCTTATTGATGTCACTTGTTAAATCCACTTCAATCAGTGTAGATGAAAGGGAGGAGACAGGTTAAAGAAGGGTTTTTAAGCCTTGAAAAAATTGAGACATGGATTGTGTATGTGTGCCATTCAGATGGTGAATGGGCAAGACAAAATATTTAAGTGCCTTTGAACGGGGTATGGTAGTAGGTGCCAGGCACACCGGTTTGTGTCAAGGACTGCAACGCTGCTGGGTTTTTCATGGTCAATAGTTTCCTGTGTGTAAGAATGGTCCACCACCCAAAGGACATCCAGCCAACTTGATACAACTGTGGGAAGCATTGGAGTCAACATGGGCCAGCATCCCTGTGGAAGGCTTTCGACACCTTGTAGAGTCCATGCCCTGATGAATAGAGGCTGTTCTGAGGGCAAAAGGGGGTGCAACTCAATATTAGGAAGGTGTTCCTAATGTTTTGTACACTCAGTGTATATAGTTATAGTTGATAAATGTGTTTAAGAATTGGAAGTTAGGATAGCGTCAACATGAGTAAGTTGGTTTGGTGTCTCTAGCTTGAACGGTTCAAGAGTTACTGTTGGTTAATTATTTTATGCAAATGTGTTATTTTATGCAAAAATATGAATTTTGGTTATCCAGTTTTTAAGAATTGGAAGTTAGGATAGGCAGAACATGTGAAAGTTAGTTTGGTGTCTCTAGCTGGAGGGGGAGGGGGGGAGGGGGTGCATATCAATATTAGGAAGGTGTTCTTAATGTTTTGTACACAGTATATGTTCAAGCCTTCAGCTGAACAGTAACTGCCTGTGGAACGGCCGTCCCCTCGAGGTGAACAAAACGAAGGAGCTGATCGTGGACTTCAGGAGACAGCAGACGGAGCACGCCCCTATCCACATCGACGGGACCGCAGTGGAGAAGGTGGAAAGCTTCAAGTTCCTGAGGCGTACACATCCATCAAATATCACCACTATCTATAGACACCTATCACCACTATCTATAGACACCTATCACCACTATCTATAGACACCTATCACCACTATCTATAGACACCTATCACCACTATCTATAGACACCTATCACCACTATCTATAGACACCTATCACCACTATCTATAGACACCTATCAACACTATCTATAGACACCTATCACCACTATCCATAGACACCTATCAACCACTATCCATAGACACCTATCACCACTATCTATAGACACCTATCACCACTATCTATAGACACCTATCACCACTATCTATAGACACCTATCACCACTATCTATAGACACCTATCACCACTATCTGTAGACACCTAACACCACGCATGAGCCAAGCATGATATCAACTGCATGGGCATGGAATAATTTGGTAACACTAATCTTCAGTCTTACTGATCTCTCCTTCAGGACATGAAGATGATGAGTTCTCAGACCGTCCCTGTACGTGCTCTCCTCTGTTCCTACCAGTACTTCACTAAGAGCGGACATTCGTACTATGGTGTTGCATCTGTATGAAGAGGTACTTCCATTAAAACATCTATTTGGTATACTCTAAGTAAGTAGTTTCTGTTCTTTCAATCCAATATGTATTATCTGCATGTCCACCAGATGGTAGCAGAGGACCACAGAAAGAGGCCAGGCTCCTGACACAATACCATAAAAGGCCCAAAACAATGAGCAAGGTTGGACAGAGAGCAAGGTTGGACAGAGAGCAAGGTTGGATAGAGAGCAAGGTTGGACAGAGAGCTAGTTTGGACAGAGAGCAAGGTTGGACAGAGGAGCAGGTTGGCAGGAGAGCTAGGACAGAGAGCAAGGTTGGACAGAGAGCAGGTGGACAGAGAGCAAGGTTGGACAGAGAGCTAGGTTGGACGAGGGCAAGGTGGACAGAGAGCAGGTTGGACAGAGAGCAAGGTTGGACAGAGAGCTAGGTTGGACAGAGAGCAGTGGACAGAGAGCTGGTGGACAGAGAGCAAGGTTGGACAGAGAGCAAGGTTGGACAGAGAGCAGGTTGGACAGAGAGCTAGGTTGGACAGAGAGCAAGGTTGGAAGAGAGCAGGTTGGACAGAGAGGTAGGTGTGGACAGAGAGCTAGGTTGGACAGAGAGCTAGGTTGGACAGAGAGCAGCAGAGGTTGACAGAGAGCTAGGTTGGACAGAGAGCAAGGTTGGACAGAGAGCTAGGTTGGACAGAGAGCAAGGTTGGACAGAGAGCTAGGTTGGACAGAGAGCAAGGTTGGACAGAGAGCAAGGTTGGACAGAGAGCTAGGTTGGACAGAGAGCAAGGTTGGACAGAGAGCTAGGTTGGACAGAGAGCAAGGTTGGACAGAGAGCAGGTTGGACAGAGAGCAAGGTTGGACAGAGAGCAAGGTTGGACAGAGAGCAAGGTTGGACAGAGAGCTAGGTTGGACAGAGAGCAAGGTGGACAGAGAGCTAGGTTGGGGACAGGACGGACTAGGTTGGACAGAGAGAGGTTGGACAGAGAGCTAGGTTGGACGAGAGCAGGTGAAGGAGCTAGGTTGGACAGAGAAGTTGGAAGGAGGTTGGGATCAGAGAGCAAGGTTGGACAGAGAGCTAGGTTGGACAGGAGAGCAGGTTGGCAGAGAGCAAGGTTGGACAGAGAGCTAGGTTGGACAGAGAGCAGGTTGGACAGAGAGCAGGTTGGACAGAGAGCTAGGTTGGACAGAGAGCTAGGTTGGACAGAGAGCTAGGTTGGACAGAGAGCAAGGTTGGACAGAGAGCTAGGTTGGACCAGAGAGCACGGTTGGACAGAGAGCTAGGTTGGAAGACAGGGACGCTAGGTTGGACAGAGGCTAGGTTGGACAGAGAGCAAGGTGGACAGAGAGCTAGGTTGGACAGAGAGCAAGGTTGGACAGAGAGCTAGGTTGGACCAGAGAGCAGGTTGGACAGAGAGCTAGGTTGGACAGAGAGCTAGGTTGGACAGAAGCAGCAAGGTTGGTTGGACAGAGAGCTAGGTTGGACAGAGAGCAGGTTGGACAGAGAGCAGGTTGGACAGAGAGAGCTAGGTGGACAGAGAGGGACAGACAAGGTTGGACAGAGAGCTAGGTTGGACAGAGAGCAAGGTTGGACAGAGAGCTAGGTTGGACAGAGAGCTAGGTTGGACAGAGAGCTAGGTTGGACAGAGAGCTAGGTTGGACAGAGAGCAAGGTTGGACAGAGAGCTAGGTTGGACAGAGAGCAAGGTTGGACAGAGAGCAGTGGAGAGAGCTAGGTGGGACAGAGAGGCTAGGTTGGACAG